TAGAAAGAGTTTGAATGTTAGCTGAAAAAATAAATTTTGAAACTGACATTACATTAAGTATATGAAAACCATTTTATTATTGGTATTACTAAATTAAATTGTTAATTTTTGCAATTTTTAACTGACATACAAGAAAAAGAATTCAAGTTACATTATTCAAAATCGTATTAATCACATATACATATGTACATAATTCTTTTTTTAAAACCTTTATTTAATAAGGGAATTACTTAATCCTAAGGCGGTCCAACACTCACTCACTATATAAATGTATTCGATTTTTCTTTTACATATTTCCATATTCCCAAAAACTTTCAATGAATTTCATAATACCAAAAACAATTTCTTTTCGCAAGAGATGTAAAAAACAAAAACTGAATGAATATGAAATGTGAAAATAAAATGTAAAAAGAAAGAAAGGAATAAAAAAAAAAGAATGAACAAACAATCTTATTTCATATCATTTAATTATTACAGGCTATAATATAAAATTACCATATGATTTTGACCTGCTCACACATTATTCATACAATTGCACATTTATCATTTTGTATTAAACACAGTAACACAATTATATATTTTTATATATTATGTATAGTAGTAAATAGTAATTGCGATCAAACTAAATAAGGTGACCATTATCACATTAAAGAAATGATAGATTTTTCATTATTCAAGGTTGAAAATTCGCAAAACTTAAAAATTAATTTCTGTATACTTTATTTGATTAGTTTAAAAATTCAATTAAGATTAGTATTAATAAAATAATTAATTAGATTAGATTAAAAAAAAAAATTTGAAAAATTGATTTTATATTGTAATTGAAAACTCAATTTGTGCAATGTTTTCCGTTGCTTGTTATTAATGTATTAAGACGGCAATCAAATTCAACAGCTCTGGTTCTTTTCTATATGAACCAAATATTTTTTAAAATTTTATTATAAACTATATGTGTTAAATTAAATGTGCAGTTGTTATACACAATGTGTATAACAAATTACCAAATATTTTAATACTTCCCTTTAATTATAAGATTGTATAACTATATTCTAAGAATTAAAGCGGAGAAAAAAAAAATTATTTTTTTTTAATCTAAAACGAACAAAAAGAATCTAATTAAAATGAATATAAAATTTATAATTAAAAAAATGGTTTCCTTTTCTGACTCATCTTTTTGATTTAGCACATGCATATATGTATGTAATTATCTTTTTTATTTCTTTCGTATAAAATTAAAAATATAATCTAACCTTGTATACAAAAAACCAGGTAAATAAGTATGACACTGTCAAAGTCAATCGAATACAAAAAAATAAAATTTATTGGAGTTATTTGTTTTTTTTTTTTTTGTTTCTCTACTATATAGCCGGTTATCAATAAAAATATTGGTTTTAAAGAATTTAATAATAAAATTAGAAGATGGATGAGAAACGTCTATAAAAACATGATAATAAAATATTTATAAAAATTTGTTAAAGTCTGAAAAATTAATGTGAAAAATACAAATAATTAATAGTGACAAATTTGTTGTCAGTTACATAGTAAAGTTCGATAAACGTTCTGTTCTTATATTAATGTGCATATAGGGTATAACAAAGGAGGTCTTATTAGGTAGATTTTCAATAAAGCTCAAGATATTAAAATTGAGTCTTTAATATCAAATATTCGAAATATCAACTTCTTTTCGGATTTTTGATATTATCAGCTTGGAAATAGCTTGGACATTGAAATATACACATCTATGTACATATATGAACGATAAAATGACAAACCTCTAAAATTTCAGTTTTCATTAAAATCACATAATTTTTTAGATTGATTAAATTTTAAGAACCGTGTTGTATAAAACGAAAGTATGTATATGCATTTATAGCTGTATCTCTTATTCTGTTGAAACAAGGCTGAATTCGTACTGGTAAATGATAAACAAAATGTGCTTATATCAAATATTATATCAATATAGTTAATTGCTGTTGCTCCGAAGGTGGTAAAATGCTTAACAAAATACAATTTATTTCATGGTATATAGACATAATAAATGTAGGTATCAATATATTTATATAGTATTTTTAATTGTTTTATAAAATTTACGTAAGAAGAAACAAATCAACTAAATTATATAGGGTCATTTGGTTTGATGATGAAGATTTGCGATAATTCGGACATGCACTGAAAGTTATAAATTAAATTTTAAAAGTTTTTTCATACATACTTACAAATATGGAGAAACTGAATATTTTACTATTGCAGATTTGTAAAATACTCGAGCTATTCTTCCATATCCATATTATTCTTCTTCTAATTTACAAAATCTTTTGTGTAGTTATAAAAAAACTTAAAAATTTCTTTAGAACTTTGAACATGCTATTTTTGCTAATTTTAAAATTTGGTTTAATCAAGTGTGCTTCAAATAATGGGGGAGTGATTAGGAAAATTAACACTTCAGAAATATAAGAACCATTAAAAAACGTAATACCTATGCATACGTCCATTGAAATTTTCACTAACTTTTAAGTTTTATAATAATTAGTTTTAAATTTTGTTAATTTTTAAATTTAAATTAATTTTTAAATTTAATACTCACTTATTTTTTTTATATCGCATCAACTTAATTTCCAATCCTAAATGTTACTAAATCCAATCCAATTGTTTTTGGTACAGTATACTATGTGTATAAGAATAAGAATTTTCATTTGTTCAATGATTTTCTTAAAATGAGAATTTCGGAAATTATATATGTATATTAGGTAATATCATTAATTAATCTAATAAGGCTGTAATTTATGAAATATTCATTCTGTTTTAGGGTACTCATTTTGTTATACACATATAGTAAAAATTTGTTTCTGAAAAAGATTCACAGCAATACATTTTTTAATATAACAGGCTATTTTTGTCTTTTAAATACTTTTATGCTGTTTAAAAATTTTTTTAAGAAAATTTTCAAACAAGATCTAAAATACATTGTTTTCCTAATGAATAAATATTTTTTTAAAACTTAATATATACAAGATAACTTTTTTCTGAATTAAGTCACGTAATGTATAAATTGTTTGGGTAACGAGGTAAACAAGAGTTGTATACGAGTTTTAATCGGGAAGAATTTTTGTATATAAAGTGGCTGGCACTTGTTTACCATTACATCAATATAATAAATAATTCTGTTTTTCTTTTTAGAATTTTATATTATATGCTAATTACGATCTAATAACAAAAAATTCACCAGAGGTATAAAATATCTGTATTTGAGTTAAAAATTAATTTTAAAAAGCTTTTAAATTTTGAAATTCTTTTCAAATCAATTTGCGATCAATTCTTGTTTTTATTGTACACAAATTTTTTGATGATCATTTTCTTATCGTAACTTGTACTAGGAAATTTTTGTTAATTGAAACATTTAAATTTTCTATAAAAATTACACATTAAATGACTCTGTTTTTTGTTTAATTCTTATAAAATCATTATTAATCTTTGGATGTATTTATACAAAATTATTTTAAATTTAGTTGACTAATATAAATTTCTCGAATCGTAATCATATTTTCGCATTAAATGAATTTTCCTTTGTTTTCTAAATCATTTAGAATAATACATATGTATGTACATAATTTATGTATATATAAATAATGCATTTGTATGATAATAGTATGACGCATAATGATAAAATTGCATTGTTATTAAAATTTTAATTAAAATTTTCATATAAAGTGTAATTTTTATGTAAAGTGAATAATTTTTATATTAATAGTTATTTATGTTATGATTTAAAATTGAAATTTTATGCTTTTATATTCTGAATATAACTAATTTTATTTTGCGGATTGAATTTCTAAAGCGTGGTTTAGCTGAAGGTTGTAGGAAATATTATAATAGTTAATTATTTATATATTGAAATAGTTAATAGTTGATTCTCAATAAAATATTAATTATAGAAATATGAATGTGTTGATAAACAATAGAAGTATTCGTAATAGTATAATTAATTTGGTTTCTTATTTAGTATGTAGTTCTCCATTTCATTTGATAATTATTTTTTCATTATAAAATGAGTGTGTGAAATTACTTATACCCATTCTTTAATTTTAATTTGTTTATAATCAAAATAAGGATAAATTTAAGTATTAACTCTAATTTGTATCAGTTTTATATGTTTTAGGATCATAACTAGGTTAAATTTATTTAATGAAAAATTCAAACATAATATTTTTGAAATGTAAATTAATTAATTTCAAAAATATTAAATATTAAAACAAGTCGATACAAGGTTTCGAGATTTTTTTAAAAACGCAATATTGCAAAAACCATAACTGCGAAATGCAATTCTGTAATGCAATAATATTTTCAACTATTCTATAAAATCAAAAGAGTTCATATGATTTAACTATGCTACTCACACTAACTCCTCTATGTTGTGAAAAATTAGAAATGTTTATGAATAAATTAGGTTAGTAATATTTGTTTATGAACACAAATATAGCGCATTTTTCACTATATAAACCGCGATAAACTGCATTTATGATCATCTGCATTTATTTATGATTTACTGTATCTATTGCTATAAATAATTGTTTAAAATTTTGGCAGCGTCTGTTGTGTTTTGGATAATATTACAGGGATTGAACAGTTCTTATGTTACTAGAAAAAAAATGCGAAATATTATCAAAAAACAAGAAAATCAATTTAATATTTTTAAGAATTTAATATTTATCCTGATAAAATTAAATCATGAAAAAAAAATTTTATATAATTTTTATAGCAAACATTTTTGCTATATATTTTTATTTATAAACGTATATAAATTTCGTATTATTTATAAACATACAGATAAATATCAAAAAGTAAAGAATTTGATAAAAATATAATTTTACATTTACATTAAATTTTTCACCAATTTTATTCGCTTATATGATATTATAATCTAAATATACAAATATATATATATATATATATATGTATATATATTTTGAATTTAATTATAAATGTGTACAAAAATTAATTTCATTTATTTTTATATTTTGTTTCAATTATTAGTTATATATAAATAATCGCAAAGTATAAATTTATCACAAATATTTTATTTTATTATTTTTTTTTTGAATTTTTATTAAATTTTTGTTATTAATATAAAACATACATATATTATATAAATTTAGTCTATAATTGATAAATTCTCTAATATTTTTTTTTCGCTTTGTAAAAAAATTTTCAGACAAAAATACTTTGCAAAAACTACACATATTTAAAAAAAAAATGTGTGTTTAAAACACGGGAAAAAAATTTTGAAGAAATAAAAATTTTAAGAATCAAAATTCCATTTAATACCCATAAAAATTTTTGATAAATTGTAAAAGTTTTACTATTATGTTTCTTAATTCTATAACATAAGAAATTTTAATATTTTGTAATGGAGTTTATGATTTTAAAGATGACAACATTTTTTTTCTGTTTTACAAATATTTTTAGCACTAAAATTTAAATTTACAAATTTATTTACTATATATTTTTATATTTTTCAAATTTTTTCTAATAGTAGTTGAATTTGTTATGATGGTATAGGACAATAATGATAATTTTTGGACTGTTTAATGTGCGTGAATTTCGTTTAAATTTTACATTTAAAATATTCATGTATGTAATTTTATCGCCTATATAAATATAACCCTTGTTGTATCATAACATTAAAAGGAAACGGAAATATTGGTAATAAATTTAATATTTTAAAAAATTTTGGCAATAGATTACGTTTACAAGTCAGTTAGAATGCAATGTTGTATTTCAAATACTATTTTTTGCAAAAGTTTTAATTACTAAATATAGAGTAAATTTGTAACTATAGTTGGGCCTGACATCTTTTTGAAACAATTCAATTTTCTCAAATAACATTAGTAAATAACTAATGTTGTACATAAAGCATTTTAAATTTATTTTTAATTTATATGGTTCTCAAATTTAGAACAATAATAATTATAAAATTTTTGTAACCACTTACAAAGTTTGACAATTCATTTTTGTAAATAAATTTATTTAAAATTAATTTTCTCTTAATTTTTGTCTTATATATTTTTTTTTTCAAATTCTTAATTTTAACTCAATACCAATAGAAATCTAAATACTATAAAAAAAACCATGTTCTTATAACTATTTAGTTTAATATTCTTATATTATTATCGTGTTGTTTTTAATTTCCATCTTAAGAAAAGATATGCTGCAACTCTTAATACAATAAATATGACAATAAGAGCAACAATATCTAAAGTAAAATCAGCATCAACCATATCTAATTCTTCAAGTGTTGTTAATGGAGATTTGAAATGACAATAAGTTTGATAGCATTGTAACTTTTCTCTACCATATCCATATGTAGCTAATGCTGTACCTTCGAAACCATAACGTATATATGATAGATATGTAATCCATCTTAAGTAAACTGGTATCGCGTCAAATGATACGAAGAATCCAGAGAACAATAAGAAAGGTACAGACATTACTGGAGCTAAAAATACACCATTTTGTACATTCATTGCAGCACCAACAACTAAACCAACACTTTGAGCAACAAATGATATTAATAAACATATTATTAAGAACATTGAAAATCTCCAGAGTTCCCAAGGTTGAGACGTAAAATAGTATACAATCGATATATAAAGTACACAGAAAATGGCCTAAAAATTAAAAGAAGTATTATTATAAATGTAGATATGAGAATTTTTGTGTTTATATATTTTAATACTAACTTACCTGGAATGGCAAATCTGAAACCGTAATAGCCAAATAATATGATTTAAGAGAGTACCATCGATTAAAGTTTTCTTTCAATAAAACTGGTAATTCCAGAGGGACTGAAAAAGAAACATTAGTAGTTCATAATTAAAATTGAAATAAATTTTTAACAAATGCAAGTTTTTTTGGTATATGTATATTCATAATTAAAAAATTCGCCTATTATAAGTGGACTGTCTAAATTTAAATAATTCTTCTAGAAGACCATTTCTGTAACTAATATGGCAGGATCAAAGTTTTAGAGGTTTCAAAACTTTTCAAGCGCATATTACACGGCTATGATTGCTGAATTTTAAAAAAAGAAAAAGCTTGTCGGATCTTTTTAAAATTTTATATTCTGGGTTCGCGTTTCAGTAAGCTGATCTCGTTATTATAAGCAGTGACATGAGTACAATAACAGTAAGCATTCGTCTTTTAAAGTAACCGTTCACAGAAGGATGGGCATAGCTTTTATGGATAGTCGAAATGGTTCTTTATTGCCGTTTTATGGATCGTGACATTTGGCTTCAATATATAATTCTTAAGATGTGAAGTTAAAAGGCCAGTCATAAAAATGTGAAGTTAAAACCAACTTACATGATAAAATTGTAATTGTCATTGAAGTGTACATTAAGAAGAGCATGTTAAAGAACAGGAATCCTAAATTACTTAGTACTTTAGCTCCATCATTTCCAATATCATAGTAGAGAGCACCAATTAAAAATCCAACTAATAAATGAGCAAACAGACGTAGGTACATAAGAGTCTAAAAATTAAGAAAAATTTATTAAATTTGAAAATATTTATTAATAATTATTTATTTAATATTTACCCAATCTCTGAAACTGAACAATAATGTTCTTTTTAACACCACCCAAAATTGATGAAATTGAGATGTTGGATATCTTTCTGGTGATGTAATATCTGGTGCTAATAATGCAGATCTAACACCATCTTCACGTTCCATTTCAATTACCATCGAATCAGTTTTACTTTGAGTTTGAACACCATTTGTAATTGTTTCTTTAACAATATCATTAACAATATTTTTGTTTAACAATTCTGCTGCATTTATTGCAGCTGTATCATTTGATGTATCAGCTGTTCTATTATTTTCTGTTGTGAAACCATTTGAATTTAAATTTTGTGCATTATTTCTATCATTTGAAGTTTGTATATTATGTACTTTAACTAAATTCCTCATTTTAATATTTTCAACATCAGCTGCAGTTCTAATATCACGTGCTCCATTATCAATTGCATCAACTAGTTTTCTAGTATGTTCACCATGTTCACCGCAAGCTACTTCAATTATAAAACTGGCAGGATTATGGTAACTTGGGCATTCTAAACCTAAATTACCCAAGAAAGGCACTAATTGTTTTGTACTACCTTGATAAACACATTGTCCATCAGCTAACGTATATAATTGATCAAACATTTCAAATAAACGAGCTGATGGTTGATGAATTGTACAAATAATTGTACGACCACCAGCAGCTAACATTTTTAATAAATGTATACATTGAAAACATGTTGAACTATCTAAACCAGATGTTGGTTCATCAAAAAACATAATTGGTGGATTATTAACCAATTCTAAAGCAATTGATAAACGTTTCTTTTGGCCACCTGATAAATTACGGCTTAATGTATTAGCATGTTCATCGATATTCAAAGTTTGTAAAATATCATCAATCTAAAAATAAAAATATAATTTGAATTTATTATCAAGAATAAATACGAGTATTTTTTAAGATACAATTTTCTTATAGATGTTTTATGGACTTTATGGGAATCTTATAATAAATGATAATGAATATTTTGGATAGAAGACTTTTATATTTTCTATATATACATACCACAGCTTGTTTCTCTTGTTTGTTAAATTTTTTGTTATTTAATTTAAGATTTGCTGCAACCGTCATAGCTTCCATTACAGTTAAATTACCATGTAATTGATTATCTTGCATAATATAAGCGGATAATTTACGAAATACACTTAAATTTCTTTCGTTATCATTCATTGTAATTGAACCTTCAATGTTTGTTGTCCTATAAATAGAAAAAAAAAGCAAGCAATTATTAAACTGTCAATTTAACAGAATAAAATTTTTAAAATCAATTATGAAATAAATTTTGTAATAAAAACAAAAATGTAATATGTAGCTAGTGTTAAAGAAAGAACGAAATAAAGAAGTAACATTTCCAGATAGTCAAGCAACAATTAGATTTGGTCCAAATTAGAATGAATTTAGTGTTAGAACGTTTACAAAAGCTAATGAAACTGGGTTCGAAGAAGAAATTTTTGTTCTGCCGACGTCGGCTTATAAATGCATAAATGACAAAGAAAGTGACAGATCTTTGGAGGAAGTGTTTGTTGAACTTCAAATTTTCAATTATATATAATTAAGGTTCACAAAAAATTGCGCCGCTGATTTACTATAATATTACTTGAATAATTGTTCTGAGTCAAAGAAATTTAGGCTCTTTGTTATTCGTCCACCTAGGAACAATGAACTTCTATGAGATTAAAAGCTGGAGGAAAAATTTTTAATTTTTTTTTGAAAATAAAAATATGGGATAACTTCTTGAACTTTCAAAGTCATGAAATAAATAAAGAAACCATAATCAGAATATTAATACCACAAAACCTCATAAAAGACACCCCATTTTACGTATATGGCTGAGAAGAAGGAAGATAGAAAATTTAGGAGCAAAATATGACATTCAATTTGAATTCCATTTTCTTACTTTTTAATTTAATTTTCAAAATATTTTCAAATATTTTTTTCAAAATAGGAAGTAAAAGAAAATAAGTAAGGTCATTTTTATGTCACGTCACGTGCATATTATGTATAAAATAGTTTCTTGTTAATACTTTTATAGTTAAGGTGATTTTTATTCGCAAAATTGCATTCTTTCAAGAATTTTATATTTTATATTTGTATATACATACAAACATATTCAAGATAAAATAATTTTTTAAATTCATGTTTCATATTTTTAAATTTAAATTTTTATTTCCTTAAAACAATTGAAATGAAGGTGCATTACTTAATAATAATTTGTAGTATTTTAATGAAAATGAGGAAAAAAAAAACAAACTACAAAAGAACAAAAAAACAATTGAAAAATATAAATTTAATATTTTCACACGTTCTGAAGTGTCAATTATTTAAAAATTTAAATATGGTAAGTAAATAAAAAGATTATAAAAATATTATTCATTTCTTATCAAAATTTAAATATTGTACATATGCACATATACATGTACATATATAAGAATTCAAAGCTAATCAAAGTATGATATATAATTATGACACGTTTCTTAGTATATTTATGACCTAGAAACAATACCAATTATATTAGAAATTGTAATAATTACATTCATTATACAGAGAACAAAGGGTTAAAGTCTAATATCATTATTATTTTATATATATACATTCTCTGCATATATATCATGTACAAAAATATATATGAGTGTGTACATTAATCATAATTATTGTGTATTAATGAAGTTCCATTTTAATTTTAATTGTTATATTATGTTAAGATAGAGAATCTTTTTTCTTAGGTTTCTTTGTTCGATTTGTTGTAATATTTTTGCATATATATTTGAATAGTAAGTAAATACATGTAAATAAAAAATGCTATACATATAAACGATTTACGATTAATTTATCATCAATAAATAACAATGTCATTTCTTTTATTTCATATAATCAAAGGAATTTAAAATTATGTACATAATGTATACTTAAAATATTATGAGCGGGTCGGGTACTAGTACCCGCTTGTGTGGATTATCACTTATAAGCGGGCCGGGTACAAGTATCCGCTGCGCGCATACTTAAAATTACTCGTTTAAAATTACCACTCTTAAATGAAACAAGCTAAAAAATATGACATAACATTCGGAGCAATCATAACAAAATTTGTTTATCTTACAAATTTCGTTCATATTATGTTTGTGTTTCATAGAACTTCGTTTATTATGATACATTACTACTCCTATGACAGTGCAACGCGTTCCTAGACCAATTTGTTACAATGTTTCAATTTGTATGATGGGACCGATTGATAAAATATTTGGTCGCGCCCTTTAGTTTATTTTTTTATACACAAAGGTCTTATAATAATTTTTTTCAGCCTTTCATTTCGTTTTTACCCCTAACGACACAAGCGTTTAAAATGAACAATTCATTATGTGTTTTTTTATTCTTATATTTTTAATTATTGTTCTCTGAATATAACATTATCTAAATATTTTGGAAATGTACATTTCATTATGTGTTTTTCTTATTTCGTTTACTTTCTTTTTTCTTATATTTTTATAAAAACAAGTGATAAAATCCCCAAGAACTTCATAAAATTACGCGGATTTTAGCAATCCACCTAAAACTAACCTACAAAATTGGGATCTTATTCAATTATAGGCATGATATGGATGTAGAAATTTATTCTAGGCTTTTTTTTCAAAAACTTGTTATTTTTTGAGTAATAGGGCCTTTAAACTTTTTATATATCCGGATGTATACATTGTATATTCGCCCCCGCTACGCAACATTGTTGCCCATGCTAGACCACCCGCTCATAATGTGTTAATATGCAAAAAAATATACTTGTATTATGTGAACATTTTCAAGTGCTTCCGATTTTTTTTTAACAGAATGTAAAAATAATAAAAAAAAACTTAAGTTAATAAGTACTTGAATCCTTTTAAATTTTCGAAAAAAAATATCAAAATTCTCGTGTATTTATATACTTAACAACAATATGATATAAAATTTTTAATTTAAGATTAAAATAAAACTTAATGATATCAAGGCTTATCGCATGACTTTGTCAATGGTATCGTGCTTAATACACTCATTTACTTCACTTATAATCATTAAAATATAAGAATACAAAAAAATTCAATGTATTTTATATATTTATTGCAACAGTTTTTATATTTAATTTTTAATTTAATTTTTTTAATTAATTTATTGCTTTTAATATTAATGATAGGTTTTGTTATTTTTAAACTCTTGTTTACTGCGTAAAATATTTTCTTTTTAGCAATGAAATAATCATCCGTGTTAAAAACTGATAAGTTATACAAATATATACAAGTAGTAGATACATAAAATAAGTAGATTATATTATTGGGATTATTTCAAATTTTACGTAATATTTTAATATGTTCAAAGTACAAATATTTTTAAAAGAAAATATTATAAATTTCATTAAATTTTAAAATGTATAATAAATATGCACATTGTGTATTACACATTCTTTATATGAACCAGTGATTAATAATGAGAAAAACCTGGAGTTAAATACCCGGTTGCAAATTAAATTCAGTACCTTAGATCTGCTAAAAATTTTTGTTTTCTCTTCAACGGAGAAAACTAAGTTCTTTTAAAAAATCAAAGGCATTCTGAGTTAAAAACTAGTTAAAATTTTAAAAATGTATAAGAGATTTAAGTTTCAAAGTTATTCGGGATGATGCCTTTGCTGAACAATAATTTTGGTCGAAAGAATTAAAATATGCCTTATTATTTTTATTTTGAATATGTTTCTTCATAATTGTAATGTAAAAAATATAAATACTTTCAAGTATGATGATATTAATTTTAGTAGCAAATTTAAATTGCTTTTGAACCTAAACCAGTTAAATTAAGTTATACATTAATTTCATATAGTTATTGCAAATCCTATATAATATATTCAAGGAACTGAACACATTGCAATTAAATTAAAATTATTAACTTACTGAATCACCTTGAAATTTGTGACTGTAATTGTTTTTCAGTTCTGTTTTCTTTTTTTCTTCATATTCAAGATTACAGGGTGTTATTTATTCGTTTGTTAATATTTGATTGTGTGTACTTATATAGGAAATTATATTATACATTCTTTTTAAACATGTTTATAAATTGAGGTCTAGGTTCTTTTGTTTTGGAAACAGAAAAAAAAAAAATAAATTCTATTTTATTTCTATATCAGTATTAACCTAGTTTATTTTTTGAGAGAAAAAAAAAATTAGAGTATGTCAAAATTATCGTATAATTTTAGAAAAAATTAACGTTATTTTTCGTAAAAAATTTAAAAAAAAATTCATAATGTTAAATGATTAACTTGCTACTCGAAAATATAACAGAAATGTGGAGCTATAAAATTTTTGTTTTCAATTAAACCATAAACACAAAATAAACTTTATCTAATTTCATTTACTTAAGATTGTAATGGGAAATAATGAATATTTTATTTTATAAATATTTTCTTATTGAATGGGAATCAATATTGGGTATTTACATTAAACATATAAGGAGTAGAAAATTTAAAATAAAATAAAAGAACAAAAATCAATAAAAAAAAAAGAGGTTTTTGACCGAAATCTCTGATAAGGTTTCTTTAATGAATAAAAGTATTGAAATTAAAATGGAAGCCCCCAATATGTTTTTCTATATTTTTTTGTCTTTTGTTTTTGTCAAGAATAATTATGAAAATGAAGGCTCATTTATTTTGTATATATAATGTAAAATTAATAAATTCAATTTTGTTATACGCAGTATTGTACATTTCGGTACTAATGTACTTTAAAATTGTTTCAGTGTTAAAAATGAATATAAAATCTTGAAAATGTATGTAGGAACAAATAATAGTATGTCGAAATAGTGTAGTAACATAAAGACGTATCGTGAACTTGTAGAGCTTTTAAAACGTGAAAATTTAAGTCTGTATAGGAAACTGCTGTACCCAAACTAAAGGAAATTTGTTAGTTCTGTAAAATTCCATAGGGCATGCACAATTTTTCTATCACAAAAAACTAAAAATAACGCTTACCCAATTGTAAATTTGACCCTATAAATAAATTATTATGTGAAACTGAAAAAAATGGTCTCTTAGATTTTTAAATATCTTTTTTATAATTACAAGAATTTTAATTCAAAATTGAATTTAATGTTTTTAATTTATAACTAAGAAAAATTACGGAATTTCGGACATCACACATGGGTTAATTAAAAAGTCTTCAACACGAAGCAATAAAATTAAAGAGTTGAAAAAAATTTTTTTTGAAAATCATTACCAACTAGGGCATAAATTTAAATATTTACCTTAATTTACATAAACACACATACATAATATGTATATATGTTTAATGAAATACAATTGCCAAATATATTGCTTAAATATGGTAAAATAAAAAACTAGCAATTATTCTTGAAAATACGAGCCTTAATTATTTGAATTATCTTTTTTTTTTTTTTAACAACTTAAATTGTTGTGCAAGAAAATTTAATATCTGTAAATATAAGTATTTAATATACAAGTATGGCACATACACGGATATAATATTGCACATACATACACATAATATATGTATATGTACTAAATATGAAAACAAGTAAGACTTGTCAATTTTATTTTAATAATAACTAGCCAACAATTTAAAAAGGGTATTTAAAAATTATATTTTATATCAGGTTGGTTATTGAAAAGAGAAAAAAAAAACAAAAAAAAAAGAAACAAACAAAAACATTTATAGTTCAAAACTCAAGGTCAACATCACTATCAAGGGTTACACTTGACTGTAACAACTATTAAAATTTTTTTAAAGTTCATATTATTAAAAAACAAGTTGTTGTTAAAAATAAAAATTAAAAAAAGAAGAAATAAGTAATAATATTTTATATTTAACTGGATTTTTTGTTTATTTCATGAAAATCTTAAAAAACTAGTTTAACATTTTAATAAAATAAAATAAGTATGCTTTTGTTATGTCCAAGCCAAGATCATCATAAAAGTAGTTTAAACCTCTTTTTTTTTTTGTTTTAACTTTTAAAAGTATTTCTTATATTTATTTTGGATGGTAATGTACAATAAGTATGCACTGTACTTAATATGAAGTACAGTACAAAAATGCAATCCCGACAAGATGGTACCCATTTCAAATTCTTTGCAGATTTCGTTTCAACCAATTTATATTGTTGAACTTATTGTACACCAACATTTTATGCAAATTTTCATTAAAGCATTAAGGCAATTAATATTGGTTTCCATGAAAAATATTGCACTAAAACTAAGGCTCGCAAAACTATTTATGCATTTATAAAAGAGAGCGTTTGGAATTTAGAACGGATTTAGAAGTTTGGTAATGTTATATATAATTTTGACAACTCGCAATTAATTTTCAATAGCAAAGTAATAGTAAAGATATTTATTTTCGCAAAAATGGAAAATAAATTTTCCTCAAAGCTCTATTCACGCTTTGTTTATCAACCTAGTGTACAACCAGGAAGTAATTGGTTTCGGGAAATATTCCAAGGAAGTTACTTTAAGTAACGGTAATTTTACATTTTTATATATAAGACATTTTGAATCTATCTTCTAGCTTATATTAACTTTTGTTGAGTTTATAAATAAAAGTTTGAGAGAGATAGTCTTCCATAATTATCGATGAAATAGAATTAGAAAGAGAGTATAGAATTAAAAGAATTCGAAAATTTTTTTTTGTATACTAGATTGCTTTCCTAATTTTATTATTATTATTATTCTTGAATTAAACATATATTAACGTATAATACACATATAATTTAAAGAAAAATAAAAACAAACTTACTTATAACCTGATAGAATGTTCAATAATGTACTTTTACCAGCTCCTGATGGGCCCATAATAGCGGTAAGCTCTTTTGATCGTAATTTACCGCTAACACTTTTAAGTATTGTTTTAGCATCTGTAAAAAATAATAATAATAAATTAATAAATTATAAAAATTTTAAATACTTATTGGGAATTAGAATTTCTAATGTTTTTGATATAATTATAAAAATAGATTTGATTCTAAAGTATTCAAATATTTTTAATATGTGCAATATATGAAATAAATATGGCCAAGTTATATTTGAATGAATGCAAAATTTATTAAAATAAAAAATAAAATTTTAATTTGGTAGAAAGTTCAAGGTATTCGTATACAAAATATAATTTTTAATAGTCAACCAAATCATGTCTATTATGCGATTACACCTACATGCATTTAAAAAATATTGAAAAAATTTTGTCAAAAAAGGTCATTGTTCCGGTCACATAATTATCATCGATTATTTTAACATTTACATTTATATTTTTTTTAATATTTGTCCATTTTCTTCAACTTTATTGTTAAATAAATTTTTGAAAATTGAAATATTGAAAAGTAATTTAAAAATATGGACTTTAAACTAATTAGTACAATTAACACGTTAATATGAGTGTATAAAAAAAAAAATATTTTGATGATGATAACATTTTTTTTTCCCAGTATGAACCTTACATTGCATACTATATTAACAAAAAAAAAAAAAAATTAAATCAGTTAATCATGTTTTCTATTTATTTCCAATTAATAGTTATACAATACTTATATATTTTGCTACTTATTATAAATGTAAGTATACGTTTATAGAATAATAAATAATATTCGATATTTTGTTTTCATTTTTTAATATATTTTAAATATTTAATTAATTTTAATTTATTTACAAATTCCAATTAAGTAATTTGCGTAGGTTTTAACTTTGATCTTGAAAAATAATTTTAACCTTAAATTTTGTTTTCAATTGTTTTTTATTTTTATTTATACGATCTGTATCGGTATTTTTTTTTACTGTATTTTACATAAGGAAATTATAATTTATACATGGCTGTATAACTAGGGTAAGTACTAGGAAAATTGGAATTCTTGAAATTTCTATAATTTTGATTTAAATAGAATGATGATTCAATCTCATTTTCAATAGTCATTTTAATATCATTTTGGAATTCTAAATTAAAATTTTGAAAGAAACATTTTTATATTGTATAATTATTTTTTGCATTTTCAGAGAAAAGAAATGGCCGCAATTGTAATATTATAAAAATTTCATTTTTGATTGATAAGAATTAATTAAAAACAAAAATTTTGCAATATTCTCCTATAAACTTGCGAGAATTAATTATACAATATTAAAACAGCAGCATTGAATATTAAAGATTTCTAATTAAAATTTAAATAAAGCTATTGTGTATGCTGAATTTTTTGTATTCTAATTGGGTATTTAAAATAATATTTTGAAATATTATTGCAATACTCATGTTGTGTGTACTCACATACGAATACCCTTGAATTTTATGGCTCAGACAGACATGCAATTTTTAGTTTTTCAACTTTTGTTTGAATGCTTGTTTGTGTTCCATATAGGTTTATATTCAATGGCGCATACATGTAACTGTATGATCTCATGCAATTAAGCAATCAAACAGTTTGTAATTTTTTACAACCTGATTGCAATTATAAGTTAGCACTTATAGTAGATACCAATAAGTATAAAATACTTTATATACAGTATAATAAAATGCCACAAATAAACTTTTATCTTCTTAAAGTAACAAATACCTATAGAAGATATTAAAGGATTTTAATGTTCTATATTCAATACATGTACTAAATTTTTTAATTAAAATTCTAATCAAAAATTCTGCACACATTTTGTACATATTGACCTAATATTAAAATCATTTTTATTTATTTAAATTTCTAAAGAAAAAAAAAATTATTTAACATATTATTATAGAACATTGTAAAATAAAATTTTTGAATGATTAATTATAAAACTTCTTTAATATATTCTAAATTCTTAACGAGCTTTGTTTAAAAAAAAAATTTAGAATAAACATTGAATTTGAATAAAACCTTTATATATATATGTGTACATATATGTATATGTATGGACAGTAGACCAAAGTCTAACAAAATAAATGTTTTAAAAACTAATCGTGAAAATTTAAAATAAATAAAAAAAAATTCGTTTTGAATTCATGCTAAATTTTAATTTCATAGTTGAAGTTTCTTAGAATTCTTTTCGAAAACATCAAGAATTCACGATAAGAATATTAAAGAATTTGCTTAATTTAGTGTTTCAGTAAACTTTAACTTAGTAAATTTGAGTTTATATAAATTAATTTCTAGTTTATAAATACATTTTTTATTCAAACCAAATGTAATTGAATAAGTAATTGAGCTACTTCAAAAACAAAATACATTTTTTAAATTCTAAATTTGAAAATTCGTAAAATTCAAAATTTAGGAACATATTACTTTGAACCTTTTTGTTTATTTAGTTCATTAAATGTGATTAAGTATGTTTCATTATGGCTAAGCGACAATTTATCAATATTTCAGAAAATAAAAAAAAAATTCTTTTGCTGTACAAAAATATTTTTATATTACAAAATAAAATTAATATTTTTCGCTAGAATATGAATTTTGATGCAAATCATGTATAGATCATGTGAAAGTACTTTTAGGCTTATTTTGATCATTAGAGCAGATTTTTTTTTTGGACATCACTGCCAATTTAGTAGTTATTAATTTTAATTCGAAATAGAATATTATTTTTTTTACATTGCGCTACATACTCAATATTTTCTTTCTTTAAGTTTAAGAATCATCAAATAAATTGGAGGAAATCAAGAATAAAACGAATTTACAATAATAAACGAATGTCAATTAAAAATAGTAATGACACTGATAGTTACTTGAAATTGACAGAAGTTTAATTTTTTCTAATTTGTTTTTTCCTATTTTTTTTTTTAAATAAATAAATTTCAATTAGATTAAAGTAAATATTTTCATTGATAACTGGAATTATTCATGTCCATTGACCTTTTGTTTAAAAATTTTTTTTTGTTCAAAATTTTATTTGTGCTTCATGCATCATGTATGTAATTTCCATAATACCTAAATTTTCTTCCTATATTTGATTATGTAAACACTTATGTTTTTATTAATATATGCAAGTATGTAAATTTAATAGACACAATATGAACGAAAAGAATTTTAATTTGAATATTTTTCAAGTTGTCGATCATTTACAAGTATATTTCCTTATTCATTGGATATATATACAATATGCATGTGGTATATTACAATAATTATATAGTTATTACACGAATTTCATTAATTACATTATGGTGTGTATTGAAGTTTAATTATGATTTTTTTTTATTATTGAATTTTAGTGATTTTCTCGAAGATATTATTTGTAATGATAGATGAATTTTATTACTAAACTAGTAGCATACATTACATACTTATATCGGAAAATATTAATAGTAACGAAAGTTAATCTATTTTAGGGTTCTATATACAGAATCAATTAGAAAATGAGTCATATAATATTTATAGACGTACTGCTTATAAGTATATACCAATTATCTTTTAGGATTTTTTTCATTATTATTACATGTTATTTAGCTTTGGTAAATAAGTCTTATTCATAGAAAATGTTTTCTATTAAAGATAATTTATTTTTGTTTAAATACATACATGTACATGTTTGAATATGATACTTAATTACCATAAATATTTATATATATCACATTAATCAATTAGTTATACATTACATTTAAAAAATGGTGTTCAATCAAACTAATTTCGTGATGGCAAAAAGGAATTTCCTAGTTCGAGTTTAATAGTTTTAATTAAAAACTCGAATTTTTCGAAAGTTTAAACTTACGTAAAGCTGAAACAATGGTAAAATAATAAAAGGGCCTTAATTTGACTTTTAAAAATTAAGTTTTAACTTTGATAATAAATACTTAATACGAAACAAAAGACTTTGTCAACTTTGAGAGTTTTTTCAAAAATCGAAGAATAATTAAGCAATAAAATTTGATATTTGTAAAATATTAAAATGTTTCTAATAAATTAAACTCTATTGGAATTTTGGTAAATATTCCCCGTATAATAGTTTCAATTTTTATAATTAATTTTCATTGATCAATTTCAACGATTAATCGTTAAATTATTACATTTAACCATTGATATACTTAAAACATAGTCGCATAATCTATGGTTATAAATAATTTTTTTTTTCATGAATTAGGTTTCCTAATTTGTATATTTCTTTTCTCAAATATAGTTATTTTATACTAAGCTGTTTTTATTGGTTACGTGCATTAGGAATTCCGTCATAATTAAAAAGAAAGAAGAAAAAAAACTTGTTAAATTATTCACGTTAATTTTTATTAGATGCGTTGACAATGCGCATTTAATTTTTTATAATATATTTAATTTATTAAATTTCATCTATAAGACATTTTGAATTTAAACATTTACTTATCTTTTCGTATCCAACAGAATGTAATAAGTGACATTTTAATATTTGAAATTTTTCATAAAATGGAGAAAATTCTTAGAATTCGCACAATATACGAATCTATATCAAGAATTACCTATGGGTTTGTATGTTTCTATTTATTCTTTTTCCTCCAAATATGAATCTATTGAGTCAAGCTATTAAAATCGTATGAAAGTTAGTGCATTGTGTCAAATCATAGGGCGAATTTTATGTGAAAATATAATGGATACTGTGTATGTAATAAATTTATTAACGCTTTAATTCATTTAACATTAGCATTTTGCTAATTAAATTAAGAAAAAGGAAGTCTGATACTTGAATAAGATTTTGAATTGTGCGTAACTTGTAAAATTATCGTAAGTGATTTGCATGTATCTACATTACTACAAATTTGCGTTATATTTTAATAGAAATTTTAAAAGCTAAAATTAAATTTAAATTTTAAGACTAAAGTGAATTTATTTTAACTTTTAACAAATCTCATATTTTTTTTTTTTTTGGGGTTTAAATGAAAAATACTGTACTTAAGTATAATTTTTTATTTTGTAAATTTCCATTAGCTAAGCAATTTTAA